TAACACATATCATAAGCAGAAAAAAATATGGAGAAAAAAAAAAAAAAACAATAAAAACATCTTAAGTTTTTAAGTTAAGGCACTCACAATCACTAAGTCATACTCAGTTTAAGAACTAGAATGGAAGTTGGTTATCTGTGTCATACAGCAAGTTAAACAAGTGTTTTAGCTACAAACTACTCCCAGAGGTGTTGCAGAGTTACTGTTTTATACAGATACTAGCAGAGTATTCATTCTTTTGTTACAGCTCAGCTATCTGTAAATACACACAGCTAAGGTGCAGCTAAAAACTGGCAGCTCCTTTAAAGAAGGAGAAACAGTAAAGCTTTTATTTTAAAGCCCAGATCATCAACCTGAACTGCACAGCTTCACTGCAAGAACTTACATAAGGACCTTTATAAATTACAACAGAAACAGCTGACAGATCTCCCACTATGACTTATCCAGTAATGAGTAAAAAATGGTACCTGAGCACAACACAGCCACGTTTTATATGCACAACCACAGAGCAAGCTCTGCATTGCACTTGATGAAAAACAGCTGCAGAAGTCTTCAGTGTGAATCAATGCACTGAATGGATAACTATTCACTTGCAAACGCACTGGAGGCTCTCCCCCACCACTCAGCCACTTGTAAGTTCTCCTGCCTCAGGTCTATCCAGCTCCACTTCTTCATCCCCACCCCAGAACCCCCACCATAACCTACAAAAGCAAACAGAGCATCTCCTTCACGGATGTGACCCTTCTCCTCAGTCCTGGCAGCTGTCATAAGCAATCTTCATGGCTTCAAAATGCCCACATGCTACAATATACGAGGAAAAGTGTTAAAGTTGCTGTGAGAGAGCCAAGCAAGCTGTTTAGAAAAAAAGAAAACCAACAACAAAACCTCACGACGCACGGATTACATTCAGTGATGCCAACCTGAAGTCATTTCCTCTTACTCACTTCCTAAAATAAAACTCCTCCTTTCACATGCTCTTTCAGCTATTTCCCACTAGTTTCATTTCCTAAGTATTTCAAACAGGCCGATCCTTCCTCACTGCTACAACTATCAGCATTTCTTGAAATGAAAGACACTGCTCTTCAACACCCCATATAACATTAATGTCTCCTAGCCTAAGAATGCCTCAATTATCAATAATTATGGGACGTGCAGCACGAACTACCTGACCCTTTTCAGAATTTAAATCAACCACAGAAGACAAAGGGAAGTTCAAGGACCACGCAAGAAGCCTTTTTTCCAAACCCGAGGTAATCTGCTTCATAGAGCTGGATGGAAAGAGCCACAGTGAGCATCTGGGCTACAATCCCCTGGAAGACCTGGGTCTCTCCTAAAGATTTGGGTCTCCCTCGACGATCTGGGTGGCATTGAGGAGCACACAGCCCTCCCTTCTCAACCCAAAGAAGCGAAGGCTGAGCTGCCCAGGTCAGTATCCCAGAGATAGATGAGACAAGAGGACTCGATGGTCCCTATGAGATGTACCCTGCAGCCCAGGGGGTGGATATACGACCCTTCCCACACCTCCTCTAAAACAACGAGAGGAAGCCAAGCCCCACACGGCGGTGAGGAGGAGAGAGATTGCAATGGAAACATTTATAGAAGCATGGGCGGAAGGAGGAATGGGGGGAGGGGAGCCCCTAAAACAGCAGGGATGAAAGTCCCACTTCAGGGCTCCCCTTCACCTCAGAGCCCCCCCCCCAAAGTCCAGCCCCCCCAAATCCCCTCAGACCCCCTCAGATCCCCTCAGACCCCCCCACACCTCCCAGCCCTCCCATACCGGCGCCGCCCCCTTACGTGTTGTCCTGGTTGAAGTTAGCGAAGAGCAGATGGCCGCTGCCGGCGTCACCGCTCTGCCCGGCCAAGTTCATGGCGGGACAACCCTCAACCACCCCCGTCCGGCGGGGGGACGCCTCCAAAAGGCAGCGCAATTCAAGCCCGGCCGCCCCGGTCCGCTCCACACGCCCGCGGCCTCCTCATCGCCGCCAGCGCCTTGTTTACGCTGCGGGCGGCACAGAGGCCCCGCGCAGGCGCTGCCCCGCCCCCGCCCTGTGGTTGCGCATGCGCTCATCGGCGCCGCCCGCTCTCGCGGCCACCGTCCCGCCGCCGCGCATGCGCCCGCCGAGTGGGAGGAGCCGCGCATGCGCTACCACAGGGGGCGCCCAGCACGGTTGGGTGAAGGGCGGGGAGATGAGGGTGTTGTAGCGTTGCAAAGCTTAGCGGGGAGCGAGAGGGCCGGCGAGCGGGTAGGAGGCTGCCGGTTGGAGGTGGCGCTGTCCGCGCGGTCACGTGACTGTCACCGCGCCGTGGGGTGCGGGTGGCGCTGCCCGAGCCCTGCAGTTCCACTCCGTGCCGCGAGAGGTCCTCAGCGCTCAGCTGTGGGTCCGTGCGCTGAGCGGGGGGGGGGGGGGAAGGGAAGGGGGTTAACCGGGGGACCCCCCCCCCCCCCCCTCCGTGTCCGTCAGTCCTTCTGTCCCTGCACAGCGACTGTCCCTATTGCAGGAGGGCGGTAGAACCTCCTGGGAACTGTTGGAGTGAGTGCGGTGCCGCCATCGTGATGCTTGGAGTGCGGCTACTCCCATCACATGTGGGTCATTATTCCCATCACATCTGGGTTATTCCTGTTAAATATGGGTTATTCTCATCACATATGGCTGATTGCCATGAATAAGGCTGTGATCCTACCAGGACCCGGCCCAGGGGAGTCCCCAGCTGCAGGACCTGCACAATCTGAGGCCTCATGTGTATTTGGGGAGGCTTCCTGACCTCCGTCTTGATGAGACGACCAAAAATCACTGCCTTTGGGGCACCCCAGCATCTCAGAAACCTCCTTGTGAGCGATCATTCACTATAAGTTTTACGTACTATTTTAAAATTATTTTCAGTAGAGGTTTTTTTTTCCTCCAGTATTAGAAGCAAGGCATTCACCGATGGTTTATGCCTTTCTTCAGCCTGAAGAGGGTTTGCTTTCAGCTGCCTGTAGTGCTTCGTTAGTCCATACAAGATCTAAATAGCAAAAAAGCAATGCGTTGTGCAAAAGACAATTTGCTAATTGGTGGGAAACCTCGATTAAAACTATAAAGCAGCATGTAAAGATCTGTGGGCTCGGGGCGTGGGGTTGGAGCCGTTCCCCTGCAGGATTTCGTGAGGCTTTCGTTGCCATAACAACTGCAGCCAGGCTTCAAAAATAGTAACTTATTTTTCATTCCATTCGCCTTTTGCCCTCTGGGATGGATCTATTTTGGGAGTGATGGTTCAATTTTGGTGCCCTCCACCACTGCCCCCGGCCGGGGGCTTCGGGTGGGTTTATGTGGGTAAAGGGGATTTGTTGCTGTTTTCTCTTCCATCTAAGTGCAGAGAAAGGTAAAGCGGGGAGCAGGCATCACAAAACAGCCTTTGCCAAAGCCTTGTCATCCTGAAGCTGGGGAAGGAACTTGGAAAAACAACCCCCAAAGCGTAGGAGAGGGCTTGGGAGTGATCTCATTGCATGGCAGCATGAACCCATCACCCACAGCAAGGGCCCAGATACAGTGGGAAGGTCTCTCTGGAGCAGGGACATATTCATTCTCTTGTCCCCTCCTTGGTTCCAGCGCTGGAAATCATGCAAAGGAGCTGAGCCCAATGGATCCCATCACATGGAGCATCCCCCTCCCATGGGTCCCATGGAGGGAACGAAGCTGCACTTGGAGGGGGTTGCACAGAGTTAATTGGTGCTTTGAATTACATAGCACACAGATGCCCCTCTGCTGCAGGGATGTAGTGTTCACTTGAATGCAAAAAGGAGCTTCAAAGCATGATTTGGAACTGATGGAAAATGATGTTCTCAAGGAAATTTTTAACTGCTTTGGCTCTGTGGAGCCGTGTGCGATTGATTTTTCATGGAAACAACCATACGAGTACCCCCTGCTCAAGGAGACACCTGTGGCACATGGAGATGTTCCCCCTTCGTCCCACCACCCTTGTTACAGCATCAATAAGGACAAACTGTATTTGGGGACATTAGGGCTCTCCTCCTCCAGGTGCTGCTATCCCTATGGCCCCTTCCTTGTCCCTCACCTGCTAGCCTGAAGGCACCCTCATCATAGAACCACAAAGGTTGGAGAAGACCTCCAAGGTAACCGAGTCCAGCTCAAACCCGTTCCCAGCATGACACCAAACCATGTCCCTCAGCACCACATCTCCATGGCTCTTGAACACCTCCAGGGACGGTGACCCTGCTGCCTCCTGCAGGTGCGTATCAGCGCCTCAACAACCAACCTGGGACTGGGAGGGGATGGAGAGGACGGAGGCTTTGGATGGAGGCTCGTGGGTCCGCACCCCTGCACACCCCTCTGTGACAGCTGGAGCAGAACCATCAGCTCACAGAAAGCCGCGGGGCAGAATGAACAAAATCCTCCCGATAAAATAAAGAAAAGCAAAATCAAAGCCGAACGTCTCCCTTCGGGGGGCTGGAGGGGGGGGGGATGGGGGAGAAGGCAGGCAGGGGCACCTCAAAAGGCACCCACAGTCTCCACCACGCTCGCTGCTCCCTCCATCCCTCGCTTTAATTACATTTTCAATTCAAATCTGCTGCTATTTGATCCGCCGGGGGTGTGTGTCTATGAGCGGGGGGTATTTTTAGCTGTGCTTAAAGCTGCCTGGGTGGATAAGAGAGATTGTGCAGGTTGCCGCGACCAGGCGGAGCGGGACGGGATTTGTCCCCCCTCCTCTTCTCCTCCCCATCTTTGCCCATTTGCTGGCTGTGAGCGGGGCTGGCTGCCTCTCCAGCTGCCTCCCTTTCGGTCGCCTTTGTTTTTCCCCGGATTCTTCTCTTGTGCAACAGGGGGGCGAGGCTGCCCTCTTCTTCTCCTCCTCCGCGGCATTTCGGACCCGACGGAACCCATGAAGTCGCTGCGGGTCCGCAGGGCATCGCCACCCTCGTGGGGTTCGGGGATCCCCGGGCTCCTCACCGCACACTGAGTCGCCCGTGGCCGCGTCCCGGGACGCCCCATGGCACCGCCGCGATGCTGGCGTCCGGAGCCCTGGATTTCCAGAAGACGCGCTACGCCAGGTAAAGCCCTCGGCGCGGGGATTGCTTTGCTTTGTGCCCCGGCCCCTTGAATCAAGCCAGAACCCAAATCGAACCCTGAGAGACCTTCAAAAGGTGCTGAGTGCCTCAAAGCGCAGGGCAGGTGCAGGCTGTTCCCCTCACCTGCAGGCACACGTTGTCTTTCAGGATAAGGATGTCTGTTCCTTTTTGCAACCATAAGGGATTCAGAGCATCGCTCCATGTAGCAGGGATGGGGTTTGCTGCCGTTCAGACCTACTGACCCCATATGCCACCAGCCTAAGGCATGTGGACCAAATAGGTGGTCGAGGGGGTGCTGGGTCTAAGGACTGGTCCTGGAATTCCCCACTGGGTTTAACTCTGTTCTCCTCCCACTGCTAGGGCACTGGCAGCTCAGTTCTCAGCTTCCACAGACCTATCGCTGGGTGCTGACCCCCCGTGGGGGTTACCAGCTTATGGGGAACCTAAGGGCTGTGTAATGTCTGGCCATAGGATGCTAGGGAAGTCCTGGGACAGGTTTTGTCCTCAGCTCCATGCCTGTGGATGTTTCCATCTTTGCACAGAGCTCTGTAGATAGTGAAGTCTTGGGGGGGCACCAATGTCTGTTTCTGCTCCAGCAAAGTCCTGGTGCTGCTGTCAGGGTCAGATACCCCTCCCAGAAAGAAATGAAAAGGAAGGGTGGTGATGTTCTTGCTCCAAGCAGGAGAACCCCTGACTGCCTTCACTGGGAGGAGATGCAGAGGCAGCACCTGGCCCAAAACTCCTCCCGAGAACAGAATTCAAACATTTTTTTCCCAGCCAGCTTGCAAAGGGCCATTGGAAAATGGAGCCAAGCCAAGTTCAGTGCACCCAGAACAGGGAGAAAACAGTGCATTTGTTCCATGGCAGCTGTGCTTTGAGAGGTAGAAGCAAAGCAGAGCTGTTCCCCATCACAGTCCATCTGCTATCCTGGTCCCTTGATCTCCCCCCAAAAATCAGCATCCTTAAGGCTTGCTGTGGTCCTTATGGAAACAGCTTGTTAAATGAGTGTGTTGGAGAGGACACTGCACAAGAATGGGAGTACAGGGCGTGGGAAGGGCCAGGCCTTCGGGGTGTTCTTGATCCATCACTGGGTGCAAGAGTCTGGATGGGGAGCAGGGCGACATAAACGCTCCCCCAGCTCTCACCCCATGATGTACTGATGTGGTCACCAAGCACGTGGTGCTCACCCAGAGCTCCCTATGTTTCCACAGAGATCCTCTTACCCCAGTGCTTAAAAATAACCATTCACTAATCCCCATCCCCCTGGGCTCCACATAGCAGCTCTCTTCTCTTTCTGAACGCTCTTCCATACCACACCTCAAAAGAGACCCTAAAACCACTCTTTCTCTCATGCGAGCAGCTCCCCCAGCTCCATTGGGCCATGGGTGATGGGGACAAGCATGAATGGGAGCTGCAGCAACATCAGCACTGCTCCTTCAGGTCATCATCAGCATCTTGTCATATCTTTCCAGAGGGTAAAGAACACTCAATTCCTCAGAAAATAAAGCAAAAAGTTTCCTTTGTGGTGGAAAGGCCTGGAACAGCTCCATTTTTAATGTCTTTTATCTAATTTCAAGTGAGGACCAAGAAAGGAGGAACTTGGCCATCAATACACCTGCCAGCAGGAAGAAATAAAACACAATGACCTGTTGGGTGGGAGCTGCAGTGGTTTCAACAGAGATGAAAGGCAATGGGATCAATGCAGAAGCAACCTGAAAACCACAGGGAGAAACCCAGGGCTGGAGGGCACTGAGTGCTCTCAGGTGGGCTTTGGGGATGGAGCACTGCTCTTGAAAGAAGGAAGGCAGAGGGGGTGTCCCCATTTCCCACTATAGCAGTGGATCTGTGTGGTCACATCATCCCTGGAACCCATCGGGGCCAGGTCACAGGCCAGTAAACGATCCCTCCCTTACCCTGTGCTGCTTTGGCTCGCTTTTCACTGTGGGCTCTCTATTGGGTGCCTGTGTGCAACAGCAGTTCAGCTCCGGTCTCCCTGCAGGCACATAAATGCTTCTCAGCATTGGGCCATCAGGAACTGTAATTGAAAGGAAACAAGATTACATGGGGAGAGGCTGCATCTGGCCAGGTCCTGCAGCTCTGGAGTAGAGCAGCCAGGGTGAGGGCACTGCTGGGAGCTGCAGCCTGCACTGAATCACTATAATTAAGTGGTACAGGCTCAGGATTTGATTTGCCCACAGAAGAGGCTCCACGTCTTATTGCATTTGCTTGTCTTGCCCTGCACATAGGAGCAGCAGCCAGGATAGTCCTCATGACAGGACTGTCTATAGGTGCCTGCTCCAGCCTTGTCTGCATGGCACGTAGAATGTGAGCGAGCACTGCTACATCCACCAGCACTGAGGGATGGAGTGAAAGGTCAGGGGAGAACTTCACTGCTCCCTGCTATGCAAGGAGACACAGACTGGTCCCATCCTGTGCATCTCTGGGAGCCATCAGTGCAAAAGGCAGCAAAAGCATTGGGGTGTTCAGACTCCAAATGCACAAAGACTCAGCCTAGGCAGAGCAATTGCACTGGGAGCATTTTCTCCCTGTTTGCTTTGTAAAGGAAGCACAAGCAGCCCCCATCTGCTCCCACACACACAGAGCTGTTTTCCAAGATCTCTGCTTCCCCCGCAGCCCGTATGATGAAGCAGTGAGAAGGGGGAATGCTTTCAGCATTAGGATGGCAGCTCTGGAGGGGCAGGGGCTGCTCATGGGTCACACCGTGCCCATTGGGACCTGCAGTGCTGACCGGGGACCCCTGAGAGAGACCCCATGAAAAATAGGATCACCACATCTCACCAAAATATTGACTCAGCTTAGAAGCAGTTTGACTCACCCTCTGAAGTCAGCACTGCCAGAACTCATGCATGAAGTTTGTCCAGATTGCAGTTGTTGCATCCAGGTACTGGGAGGGCAATGAGTGCTCACAGCATCCTCAGCACAGCTGGTTGGAGATGGGGACATCCCCCCCAAACCACCCATCTCCTTCCTTTGGGATGGGTCGGGGGAGCAGGCAGAAATCACTGCATGGGCAGCAGCAAGCCCCATGGGCAGCCAAGCCGAATGCTGCTGGGGAAGGGCAGTCTCTTTTCCAGCTGGGAAATGGATGCACCACGTCCATCCTCCAGCTGGTGTTAGATATCAGCCTGATGTGATTCCTTGGCACAGCTTACCCTGGCCCATTCCATGAGATAGCAGTCAGTGCATACATGGAACGTGAGGCACTGCCCAGTGTAGCTGACTGGTGCACAGGAGACTCAGGAGGGCAGGACTCAGGCACCCTTTGGAACTTTCCAGGTGAAACTGAACCTTAAGCCATAAACATTTTCATGTAGTGCTCATAATCCTGAGTTAGGGGAGCTCTATGGGATACCTCCTGATAAGGCCAAATACCACCAACATCACAGTGCTTGCTTCAGTCACCAATGAGCTGAGCAGTCCTGAGTTCCAGGAAAGTTGGGGTCCAAAGCTGTGCTCCTACACTGCACTTTGATGCAGATGATATTGCTTGAAACCATTCCATCTGCTTCCTGGCTGGTGAAATGGTTCAGCCAGGGAGGGAATGATCAGGAACTGTACCACTGACCTCTGTGCTCACAGTGATGCAGGCAAGGCAGTGAGAAGCATGCCGAGTGCCTTCCCCAGCAAACAAATAGCAAATAAGGGGAGTTTTCAGCCCTGGAAGCAGCCCTGCAAACATCCACTGAGCACCTGGGGGATCAGAGTCATGTTGTGACTAATCATGGCTCGCCAGGACCAAATGAAACAATAAGTCCCAGCTCAGAAAGTTATTTGGGAAACACTCACAGATCCCATCTGCTGTGAATAAACAACAGCTCTGCTGTGGCTGCGGGGTCACGAGTTGCTTCAGAAGAGCTGGAGATGCTGTCTGTACAGAGAGCAGAAAGCTGCCGGAGAGAAAAATAAGTATCCATACCTAAAGGAGCACCATATGTTCTGTAGGAGCACACATGGGAGCAGAGGCTCCAACGGGGCACATGCCTGTGTGGGCAGCTCCACAGATGGCAGTGCCAGGCAGCATCAGCTTCTGCATTTTTGCTTCCCCATGGAGAATGTAAGCCCTCCTCTGCACCTTCACGTGCAGCACACTGAGCTGATTGTGAGCTGCAAAGGAGCTCAAGAGGATGGAGCCTCTCACAGGAGCTGCAGTTGGAGCTTTATCAGATTATGGGAAAGAAGCAATGCACACCAAGTCCCAGCTTAGAGGGGTGCTGTAGCAGCACGTGCACAACCACAAGCCCAAAGACCAAGCCCTGGCATCAGCACAAGGTATTCTGCCTCCAGGCTCATTAGGGCAAACACAGGCCATGTGCAGAGAGGGTGTGGGGTGGTCAGCCCTGCAGGGCCGCATCTGCTCCATCTCTGCACTGCACACATCACAGCACACACATGCTCCCAAGCCTTGCTCTATCAAGGAACACCCAGAAGGATCTTACCACCACATCAGCATCCAGTAAAGGCTGTTGCCTTCTCCATCCATCCTCTCTGCAATATGCCACTACCAGGGTGCAATCCTGTTTCCACTTGAGCAGGAGGCACAACAAAGCAGCTCTCACTTCCAAAAGCATGAAACCAATCTCTGAGTCAGCTCTGCCCTTTTATAAGCCATTCACAGGTGAAACCCAAAGCAATCAGCTGCTCTGGGTCATTCCCTTCACCTGCCAGCACCCAGCATTGACTGTTGGTGGGCAGAGGATGCACTGGCTGTGCCCAACTCCTTGATGCAGAGATGGATGAGATGTTGAATGTATACAGCTTGACAAAGAGCAATGTCAGACACTCCAATACACCCCCATGAGCCATCCCAAGGATTCATTTAACTGATCCCTGTTTTCACTTTCTTCTCTCCCAGCACTGGCAAAGCCAGGCAGAGCTGGCTGATTGTTTGAGGTCAGAACTCTGTTCCTGGACAGAAGTCTTTAAAAAAAAAAAAAAAAACAACAAAAAAAAACCAAACCCACAAAAACACAAAAACCCACAACTACAAAGCAAGAAGAAGAAAAAAAAAAACAAAACAAAAAAAACCAGAGTGGGAGAAAGAGAAGGAGAAAGGAGCAAGCCTGGGAAGCTGTCTCTGTGCTCTGGCCTGGCTGCTGGAGACAAGGGGCTCTTTGTTCCTCCGGGCTGAGCCGGGTTCTTGGGCCCTTTTCAGTCTCCCTTGCTGGGCAAGGGGCCCGGGGAGGGCAGGCACAGCTTTGGGGCTGCAGCAGTGACCCATGTTTGGTCCCCACCAATTCTGGGAGCAAAACGATTCTGGGAGCCCTGAGGGCTGTGCTAAGCCCTGGGGTGCTCTGCTTCTCATGCGCTGTCGCAAAGAAGAGAATGGGCTCGTGCTCCCATCATGGAGGTTTTAAACTTTTCTGTGCCTTTTGGGCTTTGCAGTCACGCAGTGTTTGCTGAAATGCTCTGCCCAAAGGGCTGGGAGGGCTGTGGGAACAGACCTCCCCTCTGTGCCCCTCACAGCCACCGCCACGGGGTCAGGATGGAGCAGCAGCAGGCGCAGGGCTCTGTTAAAAAAAATAAATGCAAGGAAAGGCTGTGTGCATGTTACCCCAGCAACTGCAACGTCACGAGGGACGTCTGGGCCTGCAGCCCCACTTCTCCTGGTTATGAAAAGGGAAAAGAAAAAGAGAAGCAGAAAGCGAGGGGGACCTGGGGACAGTCTCCTGGCAACGTGGGGCAGCGGTGGCCTCCAGCAGGGGGGGGGACATGGCTGGGGCATGGGGAGTGCAGCCAGCCCTGGTGGCCCTGGTGGAATGGGGGGAACCCAGTGTCCCCATGATGGAGGTGGCATCTCCAGGGGTGGAGGGGCAGTCCCAGGGATACTGACTTGCATCCTGCCTGTGGGCAGCACTGGTTTCCTTAAGGTCTAACGTACATTGTAAGCAACATCCCCTCTATTTGCAGAGCACAGGGAGCTGAACCCCTCTGTTTCTCTCCCTCAGGTTCACCCTCGGCCCTGCAGCAAGGTCCAGCCAACCCCCAGCCCCTGGCTGTGCACAGCTGTGCTGTGAAACATGCTGCAGATGGTGCAAAGCAAACAGGGTCAGGGAGCAATTAGACCATCTCCTGCCCCTGCACCCGGCTGTCCTGGTCTGATCTGCAGCAAAAAGCATCTTCAAATCACTCTTTATGAGAGGCAGACAGGGAAGGATGGCCCATTATTCCCTTTCTCTACTCTCACCCTGCTGGAGAAGGCAGTGGGGCATGGCTGCTTTCAGGGATGCACACTGAATTTGCTCCCAGTACAGCACCACCTACCCAGCAGTGGGCTGCTGGCACAGCTCTTTATTGCTCCGTGTGCATTGATCTGATGGGGGAAATCGATACGTTCCTCTGCACGCCAGGAGCAATCCGATACTTCAGGCAAAGAGAACCAGAATAAAAAAGAAGGAAGTTTCCTAGGGAGCATGGCATGGCTTCCCCAGCAGCGATCAGCCCTGGGACACTTGCTGGGGCTATGGGGTGGGTGCAGGTGATACCCTGCCCTCCAAAAGGGCTTTCCCAGTCCTCCCATTCCTTGATGTGTTTCTCTCCCTGCTCCATTGCAGGTTCATGAACCACCGTGTTCCCTCCAACCGCAGGTACCAGCCGACAGATTACGAGCATGCGGCCAACTGTGCCACACACGCGGTGAGTCTGTGTCCCCTCTTGGGGTATGGGACAGTGCCCGGCCCCGGGGGTCACCTAAAAACATCAGCAATCAGCCCTGCAGCCCTTGAGGGTCTCAGGGTCGGGATGAGCAGCTCTGCCTGGTGCTCTGGGAATGCTCTCCTTCCTGCTCCAGCCCTGGTGTGAGATGGTCCTTTTCAGATGGCCCTCAGCAGAGCAGGAATATTTGGCAAAGCATGGCTCCCCCTAAGAAGGAGAATTTTCACACCAGGAGCAGCAATGGGGTTGTCTGTACGGTGATGGGAGTGAGCTTCCTGAGGAGCTTCTGGCTCCTGCTCCAAGCCCATGGCATGGCCAAGAGGTGCTGGTCCTCCTCGTGCCCTCCTCCTCCCCCATGCCCCTGCTTGCCTGCACTTCTGTGTGGTGAAGTGTGGGGACCATAGATCAACTGCTCAGTGGGCATGCAAGTTGTGACCATCAGGCTCCTTCTCCTCCCAGTTCTGGATCCTGCCCAGCATCCTCGGCAGCTCCATCCTCTACGTCCTCTCCGATGACCGGTGGGAGACCATCTCAGCCTGGATCTATGGCTTTGGCTTGTCCAGCCTCTTCATCGTCTCCACCATCTTCCACACCATCTCCTGGAAGAAGAGGCATCTCAGGTACCAGCTCTGCCCACTGGGGGCTCAATCTCGTGTTTGTAGTTGTAGCACAGCCCAAATCCTCTTGGTCAAAGTTTTTCTGAGCTATGCCAATGGGAAAAAGCATTTTCTTTTTTTTTTTGCAAACGTATCTGGTTTTACAGAGCACAGTGCCACGGGCTCTGACTCCATCTGTATGTCCATCCTGCAGGACCGTGGAGCACTGCTTGCACATGTTCGACAGGATGGTGATTTACTTCTTCATTGCAGCATCATATGCTCCATGGTGAGTGCCTGGCGTGCTCAGTCCTAATAGAAGGCAGAAACCAGCCCAGAAGTAATGGTCAGAGATGGCACATTTTCATTAGAACTTCCCATTCTCTGCATTTCAACCACTTTCAGCTGATGTTATGGGTGAGAAGGGCAAGGGCACCGTTGCTCCAGCACCTCCTGCCTGCAGGAGGGCTGGGGCACAGCAGCAGGTTGGGATGCAGAAAGATGGGGCACAGCAGCAGGTTGGGGTGCAGCAAAAGATTTGGGGTGCCCCTCACCGCAGCCCTGGGTCTTGCAGGCTGAACCTAAGGGAGCTGGGGCCCTGGGCCTCCCACATGCGCTGGATCATCTGGATCATGGCATCTGTCGGCACCGTCTACGTGTTCTTCTTCCACGAGAGGTCAGTGCCTTTACCCAGCCCAGCTCTGCCCTTCCTTCCCCGAAAGCCCCCGTGCAACAGTCCAGCTGTGAGAGAGGCCATAGACGGAGACGTGCGGATAGACAGACAGACGTGGGGTCCCTGGGCAGCCTCCTGGGCAGGAGGATCGCATCCTTACCCCGTACGCTGTGTTTTTAGGAGGCTGCAGCTCTGCGGCAGGGATGTGGGAGTGAGGATGTGCTGTCATGAGTGTGTTCTTCCACGGGGTGGCACCAAATGGAAAGCTAAAGCCCCCAAAGCCTTTCCAAAGCCCTCTGTGCGAGCTGCCAGCTCACGCCTGGACGTGGGAACTCCTGTGGTGGCACCCGTAGATGGATGAGATATAAATGTAAAATCCGACCCTGCCTCCAAGCACCTTCTCCATTGGCTGCAGGTACAAGCTGGTGGAGCTGGTGTGCTACGTGATCATGGGCTTCTTCCCTGCCTTGGTCATCCTCTCCATGGTAAGCCATGCTGGGAAGCACGTGAGCTCAGCACGAGGGCATGTCCAGTGGGGTTGGGATGCTCCAGGAGGTTGGCACGGTCCAGCCTGCAGGCAGTTGGTGATGGATGAGGTGATCATCAAAGATGATGTGGTTTGATTGCATTCGGGTGCCCTGCACGTACCACGTGTGCCCGTGGCCGTCTCCAAAGGAGCTGCTCTCCATGCTCCATTGTATTGAGAGCATCTGAGCAAAGCTGAGCTGCTGGCCATAAGGAGGGGTTGGTGTAGGACGAGGCTCTGACACATTGCTGGTGGTGACCATACTGTCCCTGTGTTTTTCTCTCAGCCCAACAGGGATGGCCTCCCAGAGCTGGTGGCCGGCGGGATTTTCTACTGCCTGGGCATGATCTTCTTCAAAAGCGATGGCCGCATCCCCTTCGCCCACGCCATCTGGCACCTCTTTGTGGCCATTGGAGCTGGCATCCATTACTATGCCATTTGGAGGTACCTCTACCGGCCCGATGCACTGGAGTCCAAAACGTCCCGATAGACGCCTTAAGGACACTTCACATCCATGGGGACATGGAAGGGGAGCAGGGAGGGGAGCCCGGGCCGTGGGCTCACCCCGAAGCCTCCTGCTGCCCCCTGCATGATTTTGATTTTAAACAGATTTTTCTTTTTTAACCTTGAGAACTGTTTATTTTTTTAGGCAATGTTTTCATAACATGGTGGCCACCTGAAGGGCTGCAGGCAATAGGGGAGCTTCGCTCACCCTGCTAACCCCAAGCATCCCATTGGGGCTGTGTCCCCACACTTCCTTGGCTGGTGACACCCTGGGGACCTGCAGCAAGCTCACAGCCATCCCAGCCTGGAGAGGCAGAGTGGAGCCCCCTAAAAAAGGCCTGAGTGGAACGCTCATTGGCACACCTGCGTGGCCCACAAATGGTCAGAAATCATTTCAGCATCAGCCTTCCCCTCCCATGCTCTTGAACAGGAAGGTCCTGAATCAACAAAGCCTTACTTGCCATTGAAACTTGAATCTCTTCCAGCGTTCCCCAGACTCCAATGCACCAGAAAACCCCTTCTCCGAACCAGTATTAAGCACACGTCTCGGTGTGTTCCCCTTGGACAGGCCCTCAGAGCCCTCCCAACTGTTTTCTCCTAAGGTCTCTTGGTTTCCTTGCTGCTCTCAGTGTCACCTGGCTGCATTTGGGCTGTCCTGACCCTGGAGTTTGAAGTGCTCAGGCTCAGCCTTGGTTTCATTATCCCAGGAGAAGGCCTTGGCAGTGGCTCCACACAGCTGTGCCATTTTGCAGCAAATTACCAAAGAGAAGTTCCCCAGATGCTCTTCCCCTCTTGACATGGTGGCTGTAGTCTTCATGTGGGAAAAAGAAACAACCCTTTTCCATAGGCAAAGAGTTCCAAGAAGGGGCTGTGCCCCGCGTCCCAGCCTGGCACAGGGCAGCTGGGGCTCTGCCCTTGGTGTCCCAGAGCAGCCTTCAGCCTGGAGGGCTCTCAGGGTGACAGGAGGTCTTGGGGACAGGAGGTGATGGACCTGGTGAGGTCTCTGTCATCACTTCCCTCAGGTCCCCAGGATGCGGCCTTTGTTCCTTTGCCCAACACTTCTCAGCCCTGTGGGAGGGAGAAGAGGGAAGAACTGAGCACTGAGTGATGGGCAGTTTGTGGAGTGAATTTGGGGTCAGAATAGAAGGTCCAAGACTGCAAGCTGCCATTTTTGCTATCTGGCAAGTCATTACTCTACTCTGTGCCTCAGTTTCCCCAGCTGTAAATTGGGGGTGCAGGCAGTGACCAATCACACAGGGCTCAGTTTGGGCTCTGTGGAGCAGCTGGAGGATGGCTGGTCATTCACAGGCACCGTGCTCCATCTGTCACTGAGTTTGTCACCAGTGGTACATGGTGGCACTGGGTTGAGTGCACCCAGCTCTCCTCCCCCACACCAAGGATCAGCCCCATTGCAACATCCCCTGGCAGAGGCTGCCCGTGGGGTTTTGTCCCTGGGCTTTGTCCCACACCATTAATCTCAGAAGCGTGCTGGGGACGTGCAGCCCAGAAGGACCTTTCTGAGGCCACCACAGAGCACACTGAGGACATCACCACTTGCCTATCCCCATGCTGAGCCTCTCCTTTATGTACCCTTTCCTTGTACAGCGGGGCAGGATGCACAACATGCTATCTGTTTGTCAGCCTACTTCGTACTAATTTTAAACAATTCGTAACGTCTGTGAAGGAGCTCCCTTTTTAGCATCTTGTATTTTTCACCATCCGTTCTTGGTCAAGCAGTATTTTATATTTAACACAGTACTGGATCAAATTAAAAGCAAAACTGAGGAAGATAACACTAGCGAATGTTGTTTCCTGTGGAGTAGGGTTGAAATAAAAACTCAAGATACCTCACTATTGCTTGCGTGTTAAGTCAGAACGAGTTTCCCAAAGCATAAGGAAATGAACTCATTTTTGGTCCGACTTGCCCTAAATAGCATCACTCGGTGGTGAAAGCAGAGAGCGCAGCGATGGAGCGCTGAGCACCGACACACTTCACTGCACGGATGGCCCCGGCATCCCCTCAGCTCAGCCCACTTGGGAAAGGAGAAAGGCAGAAAGGTCTCAGTCGAGTCGGGACCCCGAAATCGGGACCCCCCCCTGCGTCACGGCCAGCTGCTTCAGGCACAGTCCGGCCCCATCTCGCAGTGGCCCCGCGCGCCCACACGCTGCCCTCTCCCTCGCACCTCCCCGCTGTCCCCACGCTCCCCTGAGGCCGTGACGCCGCCGAACTTGTCCCCAAGCCCGACCCCATCACCCCACCCGCCCGGGGCCGCTGCTCGGGGCGCTGTTGGGGCAGCGGAGGCCGCGGGGTGGCGCCGCGGGGTCGCTCAGCTCCGCTCCGTTCCGCTCCGCCCCGGCCCCGCACGCAGCGCACCGCACCGCACCGCCGGGGCTGCGCCGGGTGAGTACCTTCCGAGGGGGGCAGAGGGACGGCGGGGCGCCTTGCTTCTTTATGATCATTATTTGTCATTTATTTCATCGGTGTTTTTGAAGTGGGGGGTTTAGCATCGCCGGGACATCCTACCCCCAATTCCTCCGCGCAAACGCGGATCCCTCGCTTGTCCCCACTGTTGTCTCCGGGATGGAGTTTTCGGGACCCCGTTGCGATAGGGACGTTTGGACGCCGTCTTCGGGAGAGGAGGGCAGGCGAGAGTCTAGGCTTGCCTGGTTGCCACTGGAGACCAAACCTGCCCTGCGAGCCGCGCCGGGCACAGGAGGGCTGCACCATGGATCGCAGCACCTTGGCACCATCATCCTAACGTGCACTCTTGGGACCCCTCTGCCCTTCGAGCCCTCTGTCCCACTTCCTGCCCGGCTGGATCCGTCCTCCACCCACCACTTGGGTGCTTTGTGCCTTCACCATGCCCTTTGGGATCCTGCCCCTGTTGGGGTTGTGCTCATTGGTGCTGCTGCACTCACATTACTGGGTCTGCACGCAGCTGCTTGGCACCGTGGTGGCATCCCAAAGCCTTGGCAGATAATCTGGGGACACTGCGCTTCGCAGCAGGCTGGTGAGGTTTCTTGCTGAGTTATAACTTTAGCAGAGAAAACTCAGGGGAGGTTTCTACTTGCCGGGGAAGTGCTTATTTTCTGTGCTCTCCAGGATCAGTTAATTATCACTAGAAAAAAATATATATTGCCAAGGTCTCATAATTAGGCTGCCTGCTGCGACTCGGCTGCTTGGAAGGCAGTGGAAAGCAAGCTCTCTTTGTGAAATGTTTTTTGGATGTGTGAATAGAGCTGCACAGGCAGAAGGCGGTCACTGGGACTTGGTACTGGAGAGCTGGCGCACGTTTGTGGCTCAAAAGACCCTGCAAGAGGAGGATAAAAATAAAAAGCAAGGAAAAAAAGGGAGCTCCTTCAAGGCCTCCTCCTGTAGATCCCAAATCATTGTGATCTGGTTGTGAAGTTGTCGTTGCCTATAGGAATGGCTGGCTGTTTGCTGTCCCATTGGAGCAGCCCTGGGTTGGGCTCCGGGTGCCATCGTGGAGAGGTGCTGCTAATAATAACACCATAAGGAGTTTACCCACACTGATCCGGCTCAGGACAGCAGTGGGCTGGAGCTGACATTACCAGCCTGGCCCCAGATTAGACAGATAAAAACTCACACAATAACAAGCCGTGCTGGAAAGCAGAGATTGGGTGCTGCCTTTTGGGGAGGGGGTGCAGGGGTTCTCCTTGGAGGGCGTGGGCAGCGGCGCTGGGCTGCAGGGAGGGGATCTGCAGAGGTTTGCAGCCAGGCTGAGTGTGCCAGCACCGGGCTGTTCTCATTTCCTCTGCTCTCTGAGTTCTAATTTGTTCCACATTGCAGTGCTGGGGCGGCCTCTCCCTCCCCACAGCATCCAGGCTGCAGCCGTTCTCGCTGTGCTGAGGCTGTGAGTCTGCGTGGTTTCCATTAGAAAAAAAAAAAACAAAAAAAAAATTAAAAAAAAAAAAGGGAAATTTTTCAAACAGGGCTCTGTGCAAAAATAACCTTTCTGGGATGGGCACAGCTGGAACCTCGCTGGCCATCCGTGATGTGCACACGTGGGCAGCGCTGTGCAGAGCTGAGGTGGGATGAGCCCTGGGGACGTCGCTGTAATAGCGACCAAGTGCTGTAATAGCAGTGGTGACCTGGTGGCTACAGATGGATGGGTCCAATCCCATCCCCCAGGCAGGAGGAGGGATCCAGTTTGGGCCTGGGCTGATTAAAGAGCTCAGCACCAGGAAGACATTCCTGCCACCGACGTGGCGGGTGGAAAATAGAGCCTGATGAGCAGAAGTGGTTCCACCCACTGACATGCAGAGAGCCAGCCCCCTTGGAGTATGGCTTGGTGAGGGGTTTGAGTTAGGAGAGGTGATACTCCTGCCAAAATCTGCACTCCGTGGTATTAAAAAAGTCACTCCAGTCCGGTGTTTAGAGGTGGCATTATCCAGCATCAAGAAAGCCCACACGAAATACACCCGATCTATTTGAAAGGCTGTTATCAGAGCAGATCTCACTGCTGGGCACTGCTGCCTACTGCCCTGCCTCAAAGCATTTCGGTGCTTTGATCGCTTGTTTGGGAGGAGATAGAAATGGTTTTTGGGAAATCTATGGCTCACACAGTGCTCATAGCTTGGACAAAGCTGGGCAAACAAAACGCATCCCAACGACGGCAGGCTGCGAAAGGGAAATCTTTCTGCTCCCAAAAATAACAAGAGGAGCTTGGAGTGTTTTCCTGTCCCTGACGTGTTGGGGTGAGCACAGCCTGTGTCCTGCAGGAGCTGCTGGGGCTGTGTGTCTGTCTGCCTTTCTGAGAACTGGGAGTTTTCACATTAATGACAGTTTGCTCTGGAAAAACAAACAGAAAATTCATTCGCTGTGTGAATACGTTGTATCTCATCGTAGAAAGGCTTTGGTTGGAAGGGACCAGTCCTTGCCCCATGGTGTGGCACTGTCAGATCTGGATTTGGGCTGGCAGCAACCAAAAGGAGCTCCTACATCTGGCTGGGAGAGGGGTGCAGAAAGCACCCTACAGCCAAGGA